ATCGAAATCATATACTTACTTGTCAAAAATGATGCTCGGGTGAATGAGAAATTGAAGCTCAAAGTATGCCATGTGAAAGGAGTTTGTTGGTGGGAAAAATAAATATTTAAGCTTTATCCCACATAGGATGTGGAGGAAATTTAAAACCACTTTATAAATGATTGCACTTTAGAATGGTGTAATCATGTGTAACATAGAGGCTCTCTCCACGTGCGCGCACAAGGGGGGTGCAAATTTTGGACCGAAATTGGCTTCGGACCTTGAACTTGTGTGCGAGCGCGACCTGCGTACACGAATGTCGGACCGAAAGGAGCAAAATTGGCCCCTTAGGAGTGTCCACGTTTTGCCGCATTTTTTAATTTTTTTTTCAATAGACTTTTGGTTTTCCAAAACTGTTGAAACTCCAAAACTCCTGTTGTAATTGTTATGAAATGAATGAGCAGGTTACAAGATCCTAAGCCTATATATATCTCGTTTTTCCAGTCTTCAACATACGAAATTCATCTTCATATTCATCTGGTCACAGTTGGAGTCTGCTTTCGTTTTACTTTCTGTTTCTTGTCTTGTTTGGTGATATTGTGAGGGAGCGAATCTGTTTTAAGAAAACTGTGTGGAACACAAGCTTCGGGTTAAAAGTTTCCTGTCATTTAATTTCTGCGATTATTTGTTTGTCACTCGTTTATGCGAATTTACGTTTTGCAGGTCTACTAACAATTTCGTTACTTGTTCTGCATATTTAAAGTTGTAGTTCTGCTTAAATCAGTTGTTACGCATTACTGCGATTTAACATATTGTCGAATCTGCAGTTGTATTAAATATGTTGTGTATATTTGAATCCGATGTATTCAAAGTTATTGAATCTGCTACTGCGAATCCGGTATCCAATAGTGAAACAATTTTCCTACATGTTTTGTGCTTTTGCTCAGAGTCATATAACTCATTTAGTTAAACAAATAAAGTGTAACCACTTAAACTGGTGTTCTAACATCAGTGAGGATGAATAACATTCCTTCCAAAGAAAAGAATTATGAAACTCCTTTAATTGATTGATAAGAGTACTTTAAGATTTTATTTCTTTTTCTATTCGATAGTTTTTAGAATATAGTGAGAAACTTTTCCATTTTGAATTTATCGAACAACATACAAAATATTTATCAATTGGCCTAGTATGTTTTGTGTTTTTGCCCTTTCTTTAACAATTGGTACTCCACATTATAATTATCGTTCAAATGGCAATAACTGACATCCTACATTTTTTAAATCTTGAAACTTTGTTTATTGTCTTTAGACAACCACCTACACTTCCATAACTTAAATTGGAATAAAATTTAAGAAAAATTGTAGCACTAGTCCCAATCCTATTCACGTCTGCCATTTAATTCTTTAGGAATTTATATGCGCAACCTATAATTTTAGTAGTATCACAGTCCTCAACGGACATGACTAGTCATGTTTGCTACTAAAGTGAATAGGTTGGGGAATAAAGCTGCAATTTCCCCTCATGTTTTTTAAGACCAGTTTTCCCTCAAATTAATTTATACAAGATACTAATATTCATCGGGTCATAGATGAAAATGAACTCGTCAAATAGGAATACATAGAAGTGTATAAATTAACTAGAGTAACTGGGAGGGGTGGGCGCACTGCCTCTATCCTGGCAAAGTATAGAGCCTTGCCAAGCTTAATTACCAAAGAAACGACTCTAATATTAAGCACCAAGATATGAAAAGAGCTGAAACTGTATATAGAGTTGCTGCTGAAGATGACTGAGGAACAGTGCCTGCAGTTGGTGTCGTTATAGTCCTAGGAGTTGCCGGTGAAACTGTAGTGCTGGATGTTGGAGTGGTAGTGGTTCCTGACGGCGATCCGCCTCCAGCTGAGGCTGCAACGGTGACTTGAAGTTTCATTCCACCACTACAATGGCCGGGTACACTACAAATGAAGTAATGCTTACCGGCAGTCTTAAGTGTGACTGAGGTGGCGCCACTACTGTCTGTACTAATAGAGTTTCCAGTAGTGCATGAGGTGTAGTCGTTTTCACTTACTTCATCCACTGTATGCCCACTTGGATAGTTGAACACTACATAACCCAAAATCAAAATTATAAAATACATATTAATGTCGAATAATTGGGTCGTAAGAGACACTTACCGAGGGTGTCACCAACAGCAAAGGTCTTGCCACTAGTCCAAGTGCTGTAATCAGCACCAATTGACCAACCAGATGTATCCCCCACTGTGTAATCGGTGGCCACACTAATTGCGACACCACAACAAATTATTAAACTCAGAATTAAACCAGTAAAGCCCGCCATATATGCTTTGTGCCTATGTTTGTTTGTACTGTGGGAGATGAAGAGAGAGTTTGAGATGATATATGGAAATGTGAGGATGCATCATGCCCTTAAATACTTGGAAACAAAAAATAAAGGAGCAAATAAGTTGGAGTTGTTGACTGAACGTCGATAAATCATTATTTGGTTGCATGGTTGTAAAGATGAGAATAACTTAAGTTAGACTCTATACCTAATAGACTAAGGAAAGTAACTACTCATTTTCTTGAGGTTGTTGACTTATCCTATTGTCCGGATAGTTAATTATTATGCTTGGTAGACCAATCACAACTCCGTTTTTTTTTTTTTTTTTTTTTTTTTTACATTCAATCACGTTTTCAACTATTGAACAATTTCATGTAATATCTGTAGGATAGTTGCTTCAATTTTATGGATACAAGATTTACAATTTATAACTAATGCAAAATATCTTAAACACGGTATTTACAACAGTTACCGTATTTGCACATTAGAACAGATTAAATTATATAATAAGTAATTGCAGTAAACAATTAAAAGATAATTGCTGAATAGTAATATGCAAAACGATCAACAATAAGTTACTAAAACAAATTGTTAAAGAAAAAACTTTTAACCCGAGGCTTGTGTTACACACAATTTCCTTAAAACAAATTAGCCCCCTCACCGT